TGTGTGTGTGTTTTCCCTGCAGGCTCGCTGAGTCTCGCACTAACCCCCAGGTGCTGGACATTGGGGTAAACCCTCAGGACTACAACCCTGAAGACTGCTTGTCTCCGACTCACTGGGACAAAGCCGACAGTGAAGCGGCGGATGCAGAGGATGCGTTTGGATTCTGATGATGAGCGGCTGGTGTGAGCTAGAGCTGGTGAAGCAACACACAAAGGGAATGAATGAAGCGGCGCTGCTCGACTCTCACTCACCTGCGCCCTCTGGTGGCCAGAGCTGAACCTGCGGTCTGCAAACCCAACCTAATGACTTCAAAAAAGCACAGACCAAAGCAATACAGTAGAAAGTATTTCCCCTTCAATTTCCTTTTAAGTACATTTATATTTTATTGCCAATTAGTTACTTTGTGTTTTATTTTGTATGTATGTGACTGTAAAATGTACAGTGTCCTCCACTAACATTGGCCTACCGTGTAAATAGCAGCAAAGAAGACAAAAAAAAAAGAGTCTTTAATGTTTAGCGTTAGCGATAACCAGAATTTGCTGCAGACTTATCAGTATGATAATGTATTTCCAACTGAAATTGAAGATTGAGTAGGAGATGAGGTTTCAGAGGTGACGTGGCTAAGAATAAGGGTGCTTTCACACCTGTCAGTTGTTCCGAAACAGAGATTAAAATTGTTACATTGTTGCTCTTTGCTCTTGGTGCGGTTCGCTTTCACACGGCAAAGTTTTTAAATGGACCAAAAGAGCTAAAACAAGTCACGGGAGAGTAAACTCTCCTCAGAGTTTCACGATTTATTTTGCAGAGTCCTGTCGGGGGGTGGTTGTTTGGTGGTGTTTGACAGGGTGCGCGCGACGTGTCTGAAGAGCGAGGATGGATGCAGTGGGGAGGGGTGAGAAAGGTGCGCAACGTATTTGAGGACCGGGAGGTAGACGCGTGATTTCCGTGAGATTATGACTCGTTTGTGGGCATCCGGGAGTCTCTGTGCATTTGCGGGAGACTCACAAAACATCCAGGAGACTTGGAATGTCTGGAATGACCTCCTGCCCTACTCATAATTCTCTCTTCTTAAAGTCGTATGCCTATTACATATCTATAAAACACTGTGATATAGCCAGGCTGTCATAAAGGGCACCTAGTTAACCCTTTTTTAAGATTTAATATTAATATTATGGTTCTTCTGAGTGTGCCTGTTTAGGTTGAGTTCAAAACAGAACTCAGATTTTTTATTATAATGTGTTCATTATATAAGTGTGTTGGGGGCGTGTACACAGGTCGTTGTTTTAAGGGTGTGTTGCTTCACATGAAAATTAAATTCGACTTCCTGCCCAACTTAACAAGGGGGCGGAGCTTAGAGCTTCCTTGCTTTATGTATGGCAACAGACAGGCAGACAGAGAGAAGCAACATGAGTGAGAGGATCCGCATTTAGCTGTACATGTACGACTTGGACACAGACCAAGCAGGGACTACTGTTGAGGAATCAATAAGCAGAATGTGTCAGATTGTGTCAGAGTGGTAGTTACAAAATCATTTGTGTTTTTGTAGAGTTTTACAGCCGCTATGTTACGATGCATGCGTCATCCGTAAAGTGGTGCAATGATTAACTGGTTTCACTATAAATCGCGCTTTAATTCGTTATGGTTAATTAATCATAAAGGCTTCTCAACAAATCAAAAACAGATCAAAACTGCGCCAACAAAACAAAGTTATGCCAACTGTGTGCTAGTTTAAAGTTCCGAGCTTGTACACGGAGACAAATAACCACACACACTGGATTAACTTTGACTGAGGCTATAACTAAGGCCAGTTAATTATTTTCAATAGAGGGACGCGCACGCGAGGCAACGTGCTCACACTTTACAGCCGCACTTAGTTAAGATGACAGGGAGCGTCTGTGACTGTGGGAAATGCTGAAGTTTAAGGAAGACCCAATGAAAAGTACAAATGTTTGCAAACCCACCTAAAGTTACAAACAAAGGCACAGATGAGAGCGATCATGTGGTGAACGTTGATCCGCCAGCTGAGATCAATCGAGTGTTTTCAAAGAGAGTGCTGAAAGACTCGGTGGATCAGCTGTTTTCAATGGCCTGAATCTCAATACGTTGCATTCAGTGCGTGTTCAGCACAAAATGGCCGCTAAATGTAAAATCTCTGTTGCTCATTCGCAGGAAGACGATGAAAGCTCTTGTGTTGAGCCCAATGAGCCTTACATCCAAAAATAGAGCAAAGGTGTTCCTTTAGTGACATTGCTTTGACTCACACTGAAAATAGCAGACGTCAATGGTAATGCGCGCCTATCAGTCAATATTGGTTGGTGGGGGACCCGCACTCCTACATCAAGTTGCGGTCAGTCTCAAAATCGCTCCAATTGGTCCACCGTTTTTATGCTTTTAAATTAAAAAAAAGGACTGGGTGTGTTTATACGGTTAGACGGTGTATACACTATACCTACACATATGTCTGTCCAAACAGCTTGAAAAATAGATTTTTTACCATAGGTGCCCTTTAAAGTGGCCATGAAATGGAAGTTATGACCATCCTATTTACCCATATTGTGATGTACATCCACTAGAAACAGTCCTGAAATGAGAAAGAAAAAACATTAGAGAAGAGCATGACTTTATTCTTTGGAAGCTGATTTGATTGTTGAAAGAAGGGCATTGCCAACAAAATTAAGGAAGACTGACGAATGGACAGACTCAGAGCAGGAACGAGACACACCCTGATAGCCCCTCCCTAAAGAACTGCTGGGCCTGGTAGCCCTGCCCTAAATGACTGATAGCCACACCCTAAATGACTGATAACCCTGCTGGGCCTGGTAGCCCTGCCCTAAATTATGGAAAGCTCCGCCCTAGGGGCCTGATAGCTCCTCCCTAAATGACTGATAGCAACACCCTAAATTACTAATTGCTAGGCGACCAACAACCGTTTTCTCAGAGGATGACAAGCTGACAAAACATTGCTCTTTCATACAAGCTGAAGCTGATCGGTCCATTCTTGTTACATGACCCGTGGTGCACTCATGGGATTTATTCAACTGTGTGCACCTGGAAGGCACGAACACATCACACCGCTCGTGCGCGCACCTTCATTGGAAAAAAAAAACTTGTGCAAACTTTAGAAAAGAGGCGAATGGCCTCTAAAAGGCCGCTGTCATTTTCTGTCTCTATCAGCTGATCTTCTTGCACTGACATGCTGGATTTACTTGATTTGTTGTCAAATGGGTTGTGGATCCATTCCTTGGCAGTTCATTGGTCCTTCACTTGGCCTTTCCCCCTAAAAAAGCAACTTTCCAACGGCATCTGATACTTACTCTGACTCTTACTGTATGTGAGATAAATTTGGGCGTCAAGTGACCGAGATGTAACCGAGAGAATATGGGAATCAAGTTTTCAAAATAAGAGACTTCTTAAAATAAAAGATTGTTCAGACTCAGATAATTAATAACATGGAAATAATACATGATTTCTTTTGCAGCCTGGTACCAATTGATCCACGGACCGGTACCAGTCTGTGGCTTGAGGGTTGAGGACCACTGCCCTAAATGACTGATATCCCTGCTGTAAATGAATGATAGCCACACCCTAAATGACTGATAGCCCTTTCCTAAATGACTGATAGCCCCACCCTTAATGACTGATAGCCCACCCTAAATGACTGATAGACTTACCCTATATGACTGATAACCCACCCTAAATGACTGATAGCCCCGCCCTAAATGACTGATAGCCCTGCCCTAAATGACTGATAGCCCCGCCCTAAATGACTGATAGCCCTGCCCTTGATGACTGATGGCCTCAGCCTAAATAAAAGTTAGCCCCGCCCTAAATTACTGATAGCCCCACCCTAAATGAATGATAGCTCTGCCTTAAATTACTGATAGCCTGCCCGAAATGAATGATAGCCCCGCCCTAAGTGACTGATAGCCCCGCCCTAAATTACTGATAGCTCCACCCTAAATGAATGATAGCTCTGTCTTAAATTACTGATAGCCTGCCCGAAATGAATGATAGCCCCGCCCTAAGTGACTGATGGCCCCGCCCTAAATTAATGATAGCCCTGCCCTAAATGAAAAATAGCAAACGCTTCTTTGAACATCATTCTTTGCTTGCTCATATTCACCAAGGGTGCCGGTATTAGTGGAGGACACTATATACAACAACTGTACCATTTTCTCATTATCATTGTTACTACTATATTCATTTTTAATGTATATGATTGCTGAGACTAACTCTGTGATTCTATGCAGTTGGATGTGGATTTTAATAGATTTATTTCAGATTTATTTGAGGGTTCAGACTAAAGATTTAAAGTTTGTGGTATGGATGGAGTGGAATGGCTTTACTAACACCAACCTGATTTCAGCAAGTAGGACATGTTTCTGTATTAACATCTTTGTTGATCCTGGAACAACATTTAAATCAGCCAATCAGAATTAAGGGATACGTTTACAGTTTATGCTAAATTTAGGTTTACGGTTAGGTTCATGCACTTCTATGATTGTTATCCAACTATTATTCCCCACTGATTTGGAATTCATTTACAGTTATGATTGGGTTTAGGGGTAGGGAATGGGTATGGATTACATGTTCCAACAACAATGATGTTCCAGGATCAACACAGATGTTAAACCAGGATCGCATCGTCAGCTACTTGGCAAAATCATGACATGTGCTTTACTAAAGCACTGAAAGGGTGTTGTTTTTTTACATATACAAGTTGAAAAGTAACAAACATTACAGCGTAGACATGAAATAATAGAAAGTGAGACAGGGTATTTATATGAATCTTATTTTTATTCTATTAAAATGTATTTTTGCACTCCTCTCTGCGTCTTCTTTCAAACCCTGTTATTATTTTCACTTTTTTTTTTGCTTATGTCATGCAAACCTACACTCAACGGCCACTTTAATAGGTACACCTGTCTAACTGCTTGCTAACGCAAATTTCTAATCAGCCAATCACATGGCAGCAACTCAATGCATTTAGGCATGTAGACATGGTCAAGACGATCTGCTGCAGTTAAAACCGAGCATCAGAATGGGGAAGAAAGGGGATTTAAGTGACTTTGATTGTGGCATGGTTGTTGGTACCAGAAGGGCTGGTCTGAGTATTTCGGAAACTGCTGATCTACTGGGATTTTCACGCACAACCAACCACCTCTAGAGTTTACAGTGAATCGTCAGAAAAACGAGAAAATATCCAGTGAGCGGCAGTTTTTTTTT